TCCAATGACTTAGTTCATGATTTACCCTTTTCCTTTTTATTCTAAAAATAAATAATTTTTTTATGGTTCAAGGGTTTTGAACCTATGATCTCTTGAATCTTCCCCTAAGACTTAGCTATCTAGGCTAGGTTATTGTAGCTGACAGCTTTAATAAATATATCCTTTCTAAATGTTAGATCAGTTTTGGTAACCCTTACCCCTTATCCTTGTTTTCATTTGGTTTTACACGTCAAAGACATATTGCCATAAAGCATCAACACCCACCATCTGCAGTATCGCCATTCACTCTATCTCCGATCGATAGTGGCATGCATAATTACCACCACCTCGTTCCCCGTCATCCCCTATTCAAAATACCTCTAGTTATTTCCCAAAAACCACCGTCGATCCACGTGGAGAATCCGGTGAAGGATCGTCGAAACTTAAACACCCTCAATTTCATCTATGTCTGATTTCGTCCATCGTAGACGTCCGTAGGCTGTGTCACCACCACATATCGACTCCAAATCCCATCCCGAACAAAACTTGACTATTGTTACACCATTTAGAGTTATCATTCACTGTGAATCAATCGCTAAAGATTTGTCAAAAACCCTAAGCCCACTGTTGTTTTCGCATTGATCTTGAGCTCCGTTCACTTCATCGTCACCTCCAACTGATTCTCCATCATCACCTCCAACTGATTCTCCATCTTGTTCCAACCAAAACCCAATCGACATCATCCATTCCCGCAGTTGTCTTCTCTATCATCCGTTGGGCTATGTTTATCGAAAATTTTCGGTCCTTTATTTTTTTTTTTGGGATGATTTATTTTTGTTTTGGGTTGATGTTGGTGTTTAGTTTCTTTTTGGTTAATCGACTGCCCTTCCCCGTCCTTTTCACCACCGCACAAGCTACTACACACCATCGTCGCGTATGGGCATTGTTTCCCATTGAATTTTATAGAAACTGAGTAACCTCGAACCATATTGAATGAGTTAACTCAATCGAGTTAGTCGAGTATACTCTGATCAAGTCAACCCGTTGAACTGTGACTTGATCATTGCGAAAACCCATTGACTTTAACTTTTACCCGTTGACCGTTGACTTTGACCAAAAAGTCAAAAAATTTGAAAAACCCTATTTTATGTTTTTGACATCCTGAGTCTGAATTTGAAGTCTGTTTCACCAAATTCTAACTCAAAAGCCTTCAAATTGACCTTTTAACCCAAACTTACATAGTTACTTTAATTAAATTATTTAAGAAAAATAAGGAAAGGACAATAACTAATAACGACTTTGGTTATGGTATGTACATGCGTTTCTTCTGACCCATCAACTACTAAACCCAGCTCCACTCATTCCGTTCATTCATATGAGATGTGATTACTCATATAATTGTGTAACTATGTTAAATATTATGTTCAATATATTATTCTGATAGTAACATTGTTCTGACCTGATTTAAGGTCGTGTACTACTTTTCTTCGTAACAAGACTGTTACTTAGTGGATCTCTTAGACCGACCCACTTTATGAGGTGTGTTCCTTGCATGCTACATATCTGTTTTTAAATATATGTCTGAATTATCATGTGCACATGAATGTTTTATCTGGTTTGAAACATTACCGATTTAAATGATTGAAAAACATGATTATAATTTAATTTTTCATACATCCCTGATATCTATTTTACTGATTTTAAATTCCTCTTTGATTGATTTATGTTCTCTGGTTATTGTTTACTAAAAAATGTTTGGCCTTTGATTTTCCTGATTTACTAGTATTGTCTGAAACTATTTTCACTATGGTTCTGGGATGTACTCTAGAAGATCTAGAGGTTCAGCTCCGATCAAGCTGATAATTCCTTATGGACCTAAGGTAACCCTTAGGTGGGATGTTAGGCACAATGGACCTAGTGGTAAGACCATATAGACCATATGGAACTCCCATAGGGTGGCTCATTTGCTTTGTACATTTGGTAAGTCCTTATGAGACCTGAGGGCACTCCCTTTATGTGGCTCCTATGCTTCGGCTAGGGTAAGTCCTTATGGACCCAAGGTGCTCCCTTAGGTTAGCTTTTAGATCCTTTAGGCCTAGGGTAAGTCCTTATGGAATGCAGTTCTAGGGAACTACATTTGGTGTTCGGTTAAAGAGTGACTATGTGATTTGACTGAAAATTGTAATGCTACTTTCATACCAAAATTGAACTAATTTTAAAATCATTTATATGTTTTACTTTGCATTGTTGGAACACGCAGAGCTCCCTAACTCATTCACTAATATTTCCCCTTTTAGATATTTTAGATAGGCACCTTAGACCTGACACTTGGAGGATTGACACATTTCATACAATATATTTTGTTGTAATGGTTTAATCTTTCCAATTTCCTTTATTTTGCTGACATGTGCCTGTTATTTTGATACACTGATTTTATGTCATGTTTCCTATCACCTCTGATATATGGGTTAATTTGTCACTAGTTATGGGTACTTTGTTTCATTAATGATATTTCATGTTTTATATTACTCGTTTTGAGTTTTTCTATTAAAAGTATATTTTAAAAGAGGTTTTGGTTTTTAAAGTGTTAAAAATGTTTTGAAAATATTTTTATTATAATCCACTAGATCAGGTCGTATCATATAAATCAAATTTAGGGGGTTACAATTAGTGGTATCAGAGTATTTGGTTTTTTAAAACCTCATAATGTGGATGGGTTCAAAACAAAAACATAATTTTGGAATTATTTACAAAATAACTTTTGAATGTCATGTAACCAAGTTTTTACAAGTTTAATTGTGTACGGAACTCTAATTGCCAAACCTAACCCTAGATTTTATGTTTTATAGATTATCTAGAGTCTCCCCCAAGAGGATTGTTAGACGAGGTCGTCATCCTACCTGTAAGCAGGGTTGTCTTGTTAAAATCACTGATGTAACAATGAACCCATTATGTTGAGATGATCTCCTCCTCCTAGAGGTTCTCCGATCCCTAGAGATCTGTTATTTTCCCCTAGTATAAGTTTGACTACCTGGGTTAGAGGAGTATAAGATTCTAGGAATGAGCATGTTAGTGTTGTTCTAGAGGAGAATCTTAGTAGACAATTTCTTTAACTAATTCAACGTGCGATTAGAGTCACATGCATTACACTCGAGGTGTATATTTCTTATACCCTTTTGCAAATAGAGTCAGTACTTTTACGGGCCCTACTGAATGAACTCAATTAAGGTTAAGGATTGGCTTTGTGATAATGAGAGGCGGTTGGATCAGTTAGGTTTAGATTTGTAGAGGAGATACTTAGGAGTTGTGTCTATGTAGGATGGGAATGCTCATACCTCGTAGGAATAAGTAGTGAGTAGTGTTCCAATCAATCGCCTGACGTGCGATTTATTTAGAGAGCATTTTAGGAGTCGGTTCTTGGGAGAACGATATATTCCGTAAAGATGACAATTATTTTAGGACCTTGTTCAGGGAGATATGACTATTTCTGAATTTGAGATAATATTCTTGATGTTGTCAAAATATAGTTCTAGCTTGATGTCTACTGAGAGAGATAGATTTTATAAGTTTGCTTAAGGACTTAGGTAAGAGTTGTGCAAGCAAGTTTGTACTCATAAGGATAAGGTGTTTGATAAGTTGGCAGGGAGACAAAAGGATGTAGAAGAAATTGAAGCTAAGGCTCTTGTTAGTGCAAGAGTATATCGAGAGAAGTCTAGGAGACCTTCTAGTGTATGTGTATTTGAGTCTTCTGCCCGTCCTGAGAAGAAATTTCATTTTGTTGTCCCTCAGAGGAGTTATTCTGGTTCGAGGCATGCGTCCCCTCCACCCCCAACATTTAGTTAGAGTGACTCTTCATGTTTCTCTCATATGCTAAGTTGTGAGTATTGTGGTAGTCGACATGGAGGGGAGTGTCAGAAAAACATGGGTACATGTTATATTTATGGGTCTAGTGAGAATTTCCTTAGGAATAGCCACCACCCTGCCTCTTATGAGCGCATGTATACTCTGACCCCTGCCTATTCTCAGGCTTCTAATCAGACCCCATCTAGGATTCATATATAGGGTAGGACTTTTGGATCTACTTCTAGGACTAATGGTAGAGCTTGATCAAAGTAAAGTACAAGACCAACCTTGACTTAGGCGAGATAGCATGTTTTTGTCTATGCTACTAGGCATTTTGATAATCCAGGCAAGCTCGAGATTTCTGCAGGTATAGTTATTGTTATTTTTTTTCTTAGCACGAATTTTGAATAATGACCCCATTTATACTTGTATTATGAGCCCTGTATCCCAAGACCCTCAGATATTGATCTAGTATGTTGAAACAACATATATTGTTACTGTTACGAGTCTAGCGATATAGTCAGTTATCTTTGATAGAGTATTTGGGTTATGTTTTTAAGGATTCATTAGAGACTTAGTTTCTACATCTGTTTCACTCAAGTGATTTTTGATGATGAAATTCTTTTAAGGGGAGGAGAGTTTTCACACACGTTAATTAATCATCTAAAAGATGTATTTAAGAGATTTAGAAATTATAGATTTTGTTATATAAATTTTTTGTTATCCAATGAGTCAGTTTTGGTGATCCTTTCCCTATCCTTGTTTTCATTTTGTTTTACATGTAAGAGCCATATTCCAAGAAAGCATCAATACCCACCATCTTCCTCATCGTCGTTCACCCTGTCTCTAGCCGACGGTGGCCTGCACTGCTACCACCAACTAGTTCTCGTCATCCCCCATTCAAAATCGGTCTGGTTATTTTCTGAAAACACCGCCGATTGACGTGGAGAACCTGATGAACGATCATCAAAACCTTAAACCCCCCATTTTTGTCTCTCTATAATTTTAACGTTTATAGGCCACTTCGCTTCCACCTATCGACTCGCCATCCCAACCTGATCGAAACCCGATCAATCTCGCTCTGTTTAGGGCCACCGTTCAACGTGAACCAAATGCCAAAGCTTCTTCAGAAAACCCATAACCTATCATTATTTTTCACATTTTCACATCGATCTCGAGTTTCGTTCACCTCACCGTCACCTCCAACTTATTCCCTGACCTGTTTGAACCAAAACTCAATCAACGATGTCCCCTCCCGCCATCGTATTCTCTGTCCGTTGTTGGGGTAACTTTATCAATATTTTTTGCTCATTTTATGTTGTTTTATGTTGATTTCTTATTTGTTTTTGGTTGAAGTTGATGTTTGGCTGCTTTTCGGTTAATCAACCATACTTTTCAGTCCTGTTATAGTCACATGCACCAACGCTGCAAGTGGACGTCGTTTCTCATTGAATATTTTGGAAACCAAGTCAACTCGGACCAAGTTGACTCATTCAACTCAGGCGAGTAAATCGAGTAAACTCTGATTGAGTCAACCCATTGACCTAAATGTGGACCTAGACTGTTGGCTAGACCCGTTGACCATTAATCGTTAATCGATTTTTTGAAAAACCAATTTTATTTTTTACGATATCCTTTGTCCGAATCCAAAGTCTGTCTCACCAAATTCTAACTCGAAAGCCTCCAAACTCGAACTTGCATAGTTACTTAATTAAATTATTTAAGGGAAAATAAGGAAATGACAAGAACTGATTACGACTTTGGTTATGGTAGGTACCTACGTTTCTTCTGACCCATCAACTGCTTGATCCAGCTCCTCTTGTTTCGTCTGACCGTGTGAGACGTGATTACTCATATAATTCCATAACTCTATTAAATACTCTGTTTAATATATTATTCTGATATTAATATTGTTCTGACCTGATTTAGGGTCGTTTACTACTTTTATTCGTAGCGAGACTGGTGCTCAGTATATCTCTCAGATTGGTCTATTTTGCGAGGTATAGTCCTTGCGTGCTACATATCTATTTTTAAATATATGGTTGAATTATCATGTGTACAAGAATGTTTTATCTGATTTTAAACATGATTGATTTAAATGATTGAAAAGTCTGATTCTAGTTTATTATTTTCATGGATCCTTTATATTTGTTTTACTTATTTTAAATTCTTGTTTAACTTATACATGTTCTCTGGTTACTGTTTACTAAAAATGTATGGCCTCTGACTTTCCTGATGTACTAATACTATCTGAAACTATTTTCACTACGGTTCTGGGATGTACTTTAGAAGCTCTGGAGGTTCATATCGGATCAAGTTGTAATTCCTTATAGACGTAAGGCGACCCTTGAGTGGGCTCATAGGCCCAATAGGCCTAGTGGTAAGACCTTATGGACTCTATGACACTCCCATAGGGTGGTTCTTTTTCTTTTTGCATGATGGTAAGTCCATATGCACCTATGGGCACTCCCGAGAAAAGAAAGAATTTTTTTAGAAAATGGTAGGAGAGTGGATATCTTTTGAAAGTATAAAAATTTATGTTTTTATGATATAAAAAGATAAAAAATTTCTTCTATTTATAAGATTGCTTCAAAGTTAAAAACATCCTAATAAAATATGAAATAAATACATATTTTATTTACGTAATAAATAGCTGAAAATTAGCTAAAATGAATTGAAAAAAGCTAATTCAATTTTACAAAGATAATTTTAAAGAAATTCTTTTGGATTTGTCCTACAAAGATAGAATGCACATGGACGTGTCAAATACACATATTACCACAACCACGAACCAAGCCAATTGGACGATGACGATGCCCATGAAAAAGAGTTATCTTATCCGTATTCAACAAAGTAGGGAGAATCATACTCTTTAAATAACATTCACAAGGAATATTTTCTCCCAATATGGGATGATATGGCCATACCCTTCACGAGCATTACCAACATTCTAGTGTTAAGAAGGAATTATTCTTTGGTCATGATTTAACGAATGTTTGAATGAATGGAAAGGTATTGATATTATCATGTTTTTGCTCAGTTTTAGGGTAGCCTTCATTATCCTTGTATTTGGTGGATGTTAGTGAATTATGGTATGGTAGTAATTGTTTTATCCTAAAGAGGTGTATCTCTTTGAGGTGGCTTGTTGTTGCTCCCCATTGCTTTCGATTTTTTCGGTTGAAGATGTTTAATTATGGAAAGTTAGAGACGGTGAAGGATACGATAAAGAAATTGGTCAAAGGAAATCAAACATTTGTTTACAGAATGGTAGAGGGAGTGTTTTTTGCAAGGTTGGGGTCGAGCCTGTTAGGGTTTTTTGTTTCATGTTGTTTCTTTCTGTATTGCCGAGGAGAATATACTCTTTTCATCCATTTATGCTTAAAGAGGTTTTTAATGAGGTATTCTCTTTTGGCCATTGGGTTATTATTATATCAATAAAAAAATTATATTTGTCGAGAGAAAAATAGAGGCTACAAATATTGACAACATTGGTCAAAGTATGGCTATGGTTCCTATTATATGTCAAAGGGATGCAATAATCCAAATTAATATTGACTCAGATTTACATGAGAAGACTCCTGATGAGTTATCAATGCCTATTATGGTGGCTTTGGAGTCGTAGAATGCACATGGTTTGGTGGCTCAGTAAGCAGCTTACTTTATTACTATTTTCTTTCATAATGATAATGTTTATTACAATATACTTTATTACAAGTCCTAGTTATCGATGGTTTTTTAAGAAGTTTATCAAGGTGATTGGAAGACAAAGTATTTTCACTCGTATGCTATGAGTCGGATGAAATTGGAGTTCTAGATATGATGACTTACAACGATTGGCAATCTCTTCCTTTAAAGAGCTATTTACTAACTCGGGTTTGGTGGGTATGATTATAATATTCGAGAGTACTTTATGCATGTGAATAGTGAGACTAATTTGTTGTTGGGTGCTCCTGTTAGTGATGATGAAGTTCAATTTGTGATTTTTGAAATGAATCCGTCAAAGACGTAGGGGTGGATAGTTTTTATGTGTACTACTAACATAATTGGGACAACATGAGAAACAATGTTTGTCGTTTGATGCATGAGACTTTTGAAATTAGAGAAATAATTGTGTAACCCCCTCAGACCGATGCAGTTAACATGATCCAATGTGGAGTGTCACATTAGGGCCACTGGAGCGACCACCGTAAAAATAGCGGAAAATTTAAATTTTTTATTAAACATGTAAAACAATAAAATGATTTATCAATAATAAAAATTAAACAAGATTTTCATACTCATATATAAAAAAAATACAATTACATGCTCCCTAATCACACGTACCATACTCTGCAAACAAAGCAGGAAGAACTCCCTTACTGAAGTCGACAGCTGCACTAGTACAATTCTTTTAACCTACAATGGTGAGTAATAGAGTGAGTTTCGAAAAGCTCAGTAATACAGAACTACCAAATGATGCTACATGATATGCAGATAAATGGAAAGCCATATAATTTCCTTATTGAATCAGACGTATACCAGTTGCGGAATAATTTGGGTTTCCTTTAGTAGTTCATCGAGTTGAAGCCATGAGGATCACAGTTCATAGGAAGCGTTCAAAGTATGACATTTTTAGGAGATTGAATAGGATGTCTAGTGTGTTCCAACAGTACAATAAAATCATAATAGGTACACTTATCAAATGATAGTTCAGTAAATCTCATAAAATTATAATGAAGTTTAACTTTTGAAACTCGTAGTTTAAACCATTCTCTTGTACACCATCCACAGTTCCCAGAACTGCGTCCATAGGGCTTACATTAAGCACACAGCAAAAAGAAAGCCAACCTAAGGATAGGCTTTGAGGCCTATATCCTTAAGTCCGTAAGTCCGTAGGGCTTACCCTAAGCACACAGCAAAGGGAGCCAACCTAATGGAGCATCTTGGGCCCGTGAGCATACCCAAGAGTCACATTAGGTCTGTACGGTTTACCAACTTGATCAGAGCTATACTCTGTAATTCAATCCATCCAAAATTAGTATTTCACAATACAATTTATGCAGTAAGCATAATTTCCATAAATTCGTAATCATCGTTATCATATATCAGTGAAAACCAATAATTATATATCAGTCATAGTCCTTAAACCATCACTGGTAAGTCGGTGTATCAATAAACAGTAAATCATAGATTTCAATGTACCATATTTCAAAACAGATAAAATAATTATGTAGTACATAGGGAACACACTAGAGGATCCACGTATTTTCAGAGGCCATTATAGTTATCAGTATGGATAACATGAAACTTATGAAATTTGATCGGATTCCAGGAACGAGGTCATATTGAAGATAATCGATTAATAACCAATCTAATCAGATATTTAAGGTTGATATTCTCATATCCCTCTATGGTTCATATATCTCAGGAAAGTGTTCAAGTATGACCAGAGTAATTTGAGTTGATAAAGTAGAAACGAAGATTCAGGGCACTTACCATCCATGTCAATCGATCGGACTATCAACAACTCCTAAAACTATTATATTTCAACTGGTCAATTCATTGCCCTTCCAGGGTATTCACACTTTAATACCAATAATTCTTGTTTATACATCATCTTCAGAATCATCGCTGAATACATCTAAAGGAAGCAATAGAGGATCCAAATAATCTTTATTTATATCCACATGGCAACAATATCACAAATTGTCAACGTATTTAATTCTTGGTTCATAACCCATAGTAATCATACATCATGCAATATCATTGGAGTTCTCAAACTCATTCAATCACTTACTAAATTCTCAGTCATTAAAGTTACTCGGTTCATTTAGTAGTCAAATCAATATCTAGTTACTTCAGAGTCTTTCCGAGTAATTCAAATGCTTCTACGTTTCGGATACATGTTGTACTTCCATTTAGTTCACTTTGGTCATTTACTAAAATCATTATTTTGTGTTCGTGATTGATTTATCTCACGAATATCCACTTCTTAATATCGAATGCGCTCTAGCGTTAAACTGAGCGAGAACTTCCATAATTATCATCAATCCCAATTTGAGGAGAAGAACAAACATTCAAGTGGTATTTATGTCATTCAGGTACTGATATAGCATTAACGTTGGTCGACCGGCTTAAACTGTGTTCCATAACTTTTAAAAGGCAATGCAACATCCAGGTTTATTTGGATTCCTTAATGAATCC